CATTGCCTATATTTTACAATTTAAAACCTGTTTTTCAGCTAGAATCGTCAAAATGACTCCCAAGGTTCATGCTGACATCAAAATAAAAACAACATTCATTTAACGCAATGTCAAGTGAATGCCCCCGCTAATGGATTTATCTTAGATGCATTGTCACTTTCACATACTTCGCCACGGAGTTAGGCGTCGCTGTATTCATGTGCAATCCTTCAACACTTGATATCCTTGCCAAAATGAATAGCTGGTATAGGGCAATCTGTTAAGTGCTAGACACTTCTTTCGTTTCCTTTTCTCTGTAAAGCGTTTTTCTGGCCGAGCCTAGATATTCACTGTTTCAGGGCTCTTCAGATTAGCTGCTGATTGACATTCGACTTGATGTGATTAGTGAGGCAATTAATGTGCCCTTATCGAGATCTCATTTTCACTCAGTCGGTAGGAGATAAGCAAATGTAGTCTGCTTTAAGGATTTTTGCAATAATAGTCACGTAAGTAGAGACCTCTGTGGCTACAGGCATAAAAACAAGGTATTAGCAATCCATGGGTATTGGTGTCATCTTTGACAGGTCCCTACCCAAATCTCTTTTATCAGCAAAACCAATTTTCATCTGCTTTAAATTAAACCCCGATTTTACCTAACAGTCAGCCGTTTTAAAAAATAGAAATAGAACAATTTGTTTTGACCAGTACTGCACACGTTTACTCATCAAGATTGCATTAGTTCGCACTAGAGGTTATAAAATTAACTTCAACACTTGTTTGAGCATAGAAGATATCAGAGCACTTTTAGTCTTTTAATGGTTATAAGATGTAGAAGTCAATGATAAGGATTGGGACCCTAATCACTTACAACCAACATAGCTTCAAAGATTTCCTCACCGCTTATTCTTTTCTCTACTGTGGTGTTCTAGTCTACTCTGCCCTATTCTGTTTTATCTTTTTCTATTCTCTTCGAATCCAGCGTTGAACCAGACAGCGCTGCAAGTGAGACTCAAGTGATATGGCAAGCAGTCCACATGGACAAGTAAACCACTGTTCTATTAGG